CCGGCGGCAGGTGCAGGTGCGATGCGGCCGCCCCGGGTCAGAAGACCTGGGCGCCGCGGCCCCTGTGCCGGCAGACCACGCGCTACGCTGACCGAAGGGCGGTTCTTTGTCCCTCCTGGGGCCGCCGGCTGCTCCCCGGCCTGGGCAGCTGGCCCGCAGGCTGCTGGGCACGGCCGTGCCCAGGGTGCTGACCTTGGTACTGCCCGTACCTGATGTCCCTCCCTTTGTCACCAGCTCCGGCCACACTTGCCGGCCACCCTGCCTCCATGCCGGCGGCCATGGCGTCCAGGCAGGCTGCCCGCTGCGGCCAGGCCGCTGGCTGCCTCTGCCTCGTGGGGGCCCTGCTCCTGATGGGTGCTGCTGCCCGGCCGGCCAACCGCTCGACCGTGCGGGAGCGAGTGGGCAACAGGGAGAACGAGATCCTGCCCCCCGACCACCTGAACGGGGTGAAGCTGGAGATGGACGGGCATCTCAACAAGGGCTTCCACCAGGAGGTCTTCCTGGGGAAGGACATGGACGGCTTTGAGGAGGACGCGGAGCCGCGGAAGAGCAGGAGGAAGCTGATGGTCATCTTCTCCAAGTAGGTGGGGCGGGCCTCGTGGGGCGGGGTCTCAGTGGGGGGCCGCCCCCTCTCGCCCGCCATGGCAGCCCGGCCCCAGCGTGGGAGCCGAGGGTGGGGCTGGGGAGCGGCCTCGGTGCCGGGGCTTGGTCCCTGCCTGTTCCCTGGCCTCAGCCACCCCGGGACCGGCGCTCCCCACCCCTGGCTGTGGCAGGTGCCGCCCAGGCGGAACCCAGAGGGGGCAGCCCCTGGGGCCTGGGGGGCCCGACAGGCACTGGTCGGCCACGTCGCAGAGGAGCCAGGGCTGGGACCGGTTGGGTGCCCCGACTCGCGGGCAGGGGGCCGCGGTGGTCCGCCGTCCGTCCTCCATCCTCGGGGCCCGGGCTGGCCTGACCGCCGGCCCCGGCAGGGTGGACGTGAACACAGACCGGAGGATCAGCGCCAAGGAGATGCAGCGCTGGATCATGGCCAAGTCCGCCGAGCACTTCCAGGAGGCCGTGGAGGAGAACAAGGCGCACTTCCGCGCCGTGGACCCCGATGGCGATGGTGAGGCAGGCTCGTCCGGCCCAGATGGCCAGGCCAGCAGACAGGGGTGTGTGTAGGTGCCCTGGGCCCCCAGGGGCCAGCCCAGTACCGGCCCTGGTGTGGCGGCAGGGGTGGGCCCAGGCCTGGGGGCGGGGATAGGGGCGGGG